TAGAATCTCGTCTAACAGGACCTCACATTGTCTACTTACCCTATAGTGTTCCTGCCTAAACCGAGAGAAGTGCAGTAGTGAAAACATGGCAATGAAAAGGAAAGTTTTAAGCATTGAAGAGAAAGTTAAAGTGATTCGTGAAATAGAAAATGAAAGGAAAAAATCTGATGTATGCCGCGAATTTGGTTTGGTGAATTCTACAGTACAAACGATATGGAGATTCCATATTAATTCCACGTTAATTTTACGTTAGTCTGTACTTAACTACGTATTTCACTAAAAAATGCAACATTTAACTCGGTTTTTGGTAGATTTCTACGTGACTAACATAAGGCTACTGTGGAAGTGCCAATTTCGGTTACAATGACATTCGTTTATAACGACACTATTTTTAGGTCCCTTTGATGATGTTGTAACCAAGTTCTACTGTAGTTAGAGATGCAGGCATCAATACAAGGGGAACTATATTCTATAAGTTAGTTCGAATTTTGGAATTTGCAGATGATATCGATATAATTGGTAGAACACAAAAATCTATGAAAGAAGCTTTTCTTAATTTGGAAAGAGCAGCAAAAAAGATGAATCTACAAATTAACCAAAATAAAACAAAGTACATGCCAGTAACCAAGAAAGACTGTGCTAATGGACCTGCATATATTGAGATTGGCTCATATAAATTTGAGACTGTATGTAGTTTTACTTACCTTGGATCAGAAGTTAACTGTAAAAATGGCATCAGTGATGAAATAAAAAAGCGTGTACTTGCGGCAAATAAATGTCTCCATGGCCTTAGGAAACACCTGAAAACCCAACTAATACCCAGGAAAACAAAAACTATGATGTATAAAGTACTTAAAAGATCAGTGCTATCTTATGCCTCTGAGACCTGGTCACTGTCAAGATTGGATGAAAGACTGTTAACTATATTTGAAAGGAGAATCCTGAGATATATCTTTGGACCAGTGGAAGAAAATGGAATATGGAGGAAGAGGTATAACCATGAGCTATACAAACTATTTAATGAACCAGACAATATTGGATTTATAAAGGTGAAAAGGCTTGAATGGGCTGGACACATAATATGTGCCAGCGAGAATAGAATGATTAAGAAAATACTTAATACTAAACCAGAAGGAAATAGAAAAGTGGGAAAACCAAGATTGAGATGGGAAGAATGTGTGTGGCAGGACATACAAATTTTGGGTGTAAAGAACTGAAGGAATATAACATCGAATGGAGAAGAATGGCGAGCAATCCTCAGGAAGGCCAGGGCTCACAAAGGGCTGTCGTGCCAGTGATGATGATGATGATGATCATCATCATCATCATCATTTTTGCAGAATAATGAAACTGACACCCGAAAGAAAGTGATAACAACTTACCATTGCCACATTACCACATAACCCACCTGACATAGTGTTTAAAAGGTATATAAGGCTTTTGAGATTACATGTACACATGCGGACACTGCAGAAGCTTGAGTTCGATCCCACATCAGGACATGTGGGATTTATGGTGTACAGAGTGACGCTGGGGTGGGCGTTCTCTAAGTACTTCAGTGTCTCCTGCCAATCCTAATTCCACCAACTGCTTTATGTCTTTCCTATTGTCAAAGCTGTCTAGTCTCAATACTGACAATGTTATTAAATAACCATTTAAAACTGGAATTTCATGTAGAAAATTAAGGCCTCCACAAGGCATATTACCAAAATATAACAAGGCATCATGCTTTCTCACATTAAATCTCTAGGTACAAAAATTGTGGCTGAAGGTTTTAAGATCAGCATCTTGTAGTGTTATAGGTGGTCACCCCCTATGAATCTACTCTGTGTCACAGGATGGGTTGGTCCTGAGCTGATCTTCTATTTGGGATGTGTTCACTTTTCAGAATCTTGTTCAGAACATTTTCTGTCCTGACTGTTTCCTTAGTTTTCATCAGTCCCTCCAGTCAAATGCCATGATAATACCTCAGGTAGGCCATGACCACTTCCTTCAAAATTCAGTCTTCATCAGACATCCTACTGTTCAGTGCTATGTAGTCTAGATACTAAAAGTGAATTCTACATGCTGATTGCAGGAGCACTGGAGATTGATGAAGTGAGAGCATCAGATCAAGGAAGCTACCGGTGTAATGCCTCAAGCCTGGACCAGCATCGTCTCAGTATTGCTGTTACACTCAGCATTAACATGAATCTTGGTGAGTTTTTGAAACATTTTAAAAAATTACATTGATCTGAGCTGTCCAGGTTAGACTTATTTGGCAGCATCAGGTTTGTTTGATGATCTCCATATAGCATTATCGCTGTCATCAGTTACAGTGAACGTATCAGGCACATAGTCATATCCTTGTTCTGTGCACTGACAAACAGAAGTTGAACAGCAGTTCATCAGAAACTTCCATTTTTAGCTGTTTCCATGCTAACTAACTCCATAGAGCAGAATTTCTGAGACGTCAATAACTACTCATTTAGTCAAGAAATTTAATGCATTTTGCAGATCCTAAAATGTTCTGATCATGTTGATGAGAGCCTGCCACTGGATTCTGTCCCGAGCCTTTTATTTACGTCTGTCAGACAGGCAGGAAGAACATTCAATACCAGATATAAAGAACATATTCATGACATTAGAAGCAACATCAGTAACACTGGATTCTCACACTACATATTGAACACTGGACATACATACAGAACAATGGCAGATACCATGGAAATCATAACAGTAGAGTGGAAGAGAAAATATTTGAATAGACTTGAAAAGTATCACATTTGCAAAATCAGTAGGGATAATCTGCATGTGGATGACACATATTGATACACACAATCTCATATTCAAAGCGTTGCACAAAATTACACAAGACAACAGTACACGCACTTCCCCCGCCCTTCCCCTCACCCCTCACCACCATGGTATTCTATAAATATGGAAGTAAACACACTATAGACATGCACAGTATCTACCACAAGAGAGGAGAACACCATAAGCTAGTGGAGAGAGCAACGTATTAACAAGGGGCAAAGTGAGTAAATGTAAACAATCGTAATACTAGTAACAAAAATCAAAAACAATAATAAATTTGGGTTTTTATATATTGCAGATGTAACCACAAAAACAGGCTTACATACAGAAAACAACAGACCACTTCAACATAAACATCCAAGGAACGAGATTGAAATATATTGTCTGGACAAGTGGATGACACCCTAGTGAGGTGTAAAAAAGACTTTTACAGAAATTTTAAGAAAAAAATGTAATAAATTTTAGTAAAACGTCAATTACAGCATATGTTAATGTAACTAATGTTAGCTAGATTGTGATTACGACATTTAAAATAATGGAATATTGCAGTTGCATGTGACGTGAATGAGTGACATTCAATACAGTATAACAGTTTTGACAAATTAAGATAACTGATGATGGCCAGTTGGGGCTGAAACATGTTTTAAAAGGGAAAGTGAAAGGAAAAGAATAAAAATAGTTGCATTGTTGACAGAAGTGTATTATTGTGAGTAAAGTTTCATGGGGCACATGGTAGCATAGTTGGTTGAGGCACTGTGCTACAAACCAGAAGGTCACGGTATCAAATCCTGATGAGGTGGATTTTTTCAATTTACCTAATCCTTCCAGCCACACTGTGGCCCTGGGGTTGACTCAGCCTCTAACAGAAATGAGTACCAGGAATATTCCTGGGGGTAAAGGATGGCCGGAGCATAAGGCTGATAACCTCACTGCCATCTGAGCTGATTGTCTAGAAAATGTGGAATCCTCAACATCTCACAACCCTATGGGCCTCCACGGCCTATTACAGGGATACCTCTACTTTTACTTACTTACTTTAAAATGTTACTTTCAGGTAGACAGTTGTAAGTGGTAAATTAAATGTCCTATAGCTGGAAGGTATATATATTGTCACGTGTTGGGTGTATAACACGACAAATAACTTCACGCCGTATTTGATATAGCGAATTTTATTTCACATTCGCACTTACAATCACCCAAATTACAGATTCACAACTACTGCTATCTACAGTATCACAAATGCTACACTGCAAATGCCAGAATACAACTGACTGGTTGCTGGCTAACTCGGAACTCTCTCGGAACTGACTCGTAGGTAGCTGCCTTGAGAACTGTTGATAACACAGTCGCTCGACTACTACTGAACTCAGCGATGGCCACCTTTCAACTAACTCACGCTTACTGCTCAGCCGGCTTTTATTCTGTTCGCTGTTGCCTGTTGCGTGCCACGTCACAGTAGGAAGCGGTGCCGCGTCACCGTGTTTGCGTATAACCTAGCAACGCTGTAACCTCGTGCCGTCTTACGTCACCGCGCGTTGCGCGTTACGTCACAGCGGAGGGGGGAAGGGAGCGCTACGTTACCGCCACGCGCCGCTGGNGGGCCGCGCGGGGGGGGGGGGGGTCCAGCTAGCGCGACACATCACAATATGTTGGAAAATCTGTTATTACTCTGTTTCCCATGTGGATTTTGTTTGTCATCATCTCTGGCCTATTAGAAAGCTGATAAATGAAAAATTATTCAGCAATAGGCTTATTTACATCTGCTTGCAAATACTCAGGAAACCACAAATAATGTTTTGGGACTGACTGTTGCACCACTGCATTAATTATAGTGCCTGATGTCAGAGACAGCTTCCATTGCACTGAGTGTCATGTTTTCTGTTGGCAGAAGCAGGTGCAAACATAATGCCACCTGTGTTTGTGGCAACACCCAGGTCATCTGTGGTAATTGAGGGCAGCACTGTGACACTGGACTGTGCAGCCAATGGCAACCCTCGACCATGGCTGACATGGCTGAAGGATGGCATCACCATTGATATGGCGTAAGTGGATGAGGTGTTAAGCTCTACTGAAGGGAATGGACACTAACAGCTGGATGACTTTCATTTAAAAAAAAATTAATCTGAGATTTGAGGTGTGGTGGTGACTGTAAAGTGTACTGTCTTCTGGAATGTTACACTGTGTAGTCTTGTAGAAATTTACCAACATTTTTGAGGCATATTCTGCCTCCATTGTCACCTTGCTCTGCTTATAGCTTGCCTCCACTTTGACCCTGAAGATGGAGGCAGTGCATTGCTCCTAAACATTTGTAAACTTCTAACCAGACTGTATAGTATAACATCTTAGAAGTCAGTACTCTTCGAAATTGGTATGATTATTATAAATATGTTCACAGATACAATTTACACAATGTAATATGGGATCTTAATCTCACTAGTCAGTGAAACTTCTGTGTGAAACTTGTTTTGTTCTGGTCAGTGTTTATTTAAATGTGTTTTGAGCCATCATGCTAAGTCGATGCTCAGTCCATTTTAGGTTGAAATTCAGTCTGAAGGATAAATTTCATTAAAAAATTTCTTATGCAGTAGAGTTATTACATTATGATAAACTAATAGTGCAGCTGATGGGTGCTTACACATCTCTGCCTTGCCTTGTCATGTAAATTATACCAGCAGGCTTATTAGAGTGGATGGTATCATTGGACATTTAGTTCCTGGCTATAGATCCAGAGGGAGGTCCGGGTTCAATTCCCAGCTCTACCAGATTTTTTTCTGAGAAGTAGTGAGTCTCGAATGGGGTCCACTCAGCCTCATGATGATAATTGAGGAGCTATTTCAGGGAAATAGCGGCTCCGGTCTAGAAAACCGAAATTAACGGCCATGGGGATTTGTTGCGCTGACCATGCAACACCCTGTATCCGCAAAAGTTGGCACTAAACTTCACCGACAAGCAGCGTTCGGTCGGTATGGTTTGCTTGCGGACTAAAATCGCGGAGTTTGTGTTTTTTGTTTTGTTTGTTGATGCTGTCTGCTGTATGGCATGTGGTCCCATGGCAGAAATAGAAGTCTGTGTATGTGATCATATTATCCATGATCAGTTTCTGAAGAATTACCAAACGTGTTAACACAGCAGTGCTCTGTAATGCTCTTGACATTTTTAAGAAAACCAGTTGTGTTCGTAGGTTGCATATAGATTGATCAGTAATCTCTTTGTAACTAGACTGCCAGGCACTCACATCCAGATGTGAAGCAAAAGAGCATGGTTACAGGATGTCTTGGACCAAGTAGGTTAGCCCAGTAGTAACTTTAATTTGTAAGTGATCTGTTTCAAATTGTGGCAGTGATTATCTTAACTTGCAAGACTTCTTATGGTTTTCCTTGTTCTGCAAGGAAAATGCCAGAATATTACTGTGTAGTAGGTCAGAACTGCATTGTCTTATGCAGTGCTATTTTTGATACAGCATTGTTAAATGTCCTACAAATAAATAATTTTTATTTCATTGTGACTTTAGTATTTANGGGGGGGGCATCTTGCGTTGCCTCCCCAGTTTCCATGGGATACTGAGAAGTACTTTTGTTTGTCCCATACATCTGTGAAGTAATGCTGTAATTTTATTGAATTTTGTTGTAGGGAGCTTGGCAGTCGGTTCCACAAGGTGGGGACAGGCAGCCTGCAGATTAGTGAAGTTATAGAGCAGGACCAAGGCACATACCAGTGTCGGGCTGAAAACAGGGATGATTCTGTAGATGCCACTGCCACACTTGAAGTACATGGTATGTACATTGTCCCATAGACTTTAGACATTTTGGAGTATTACATGATGTAATATGCATTCTAATAGTGTATTCCGTATTCCGTATTGAGGGGGTGGGTTTCCCCATGCACTTAGACCGGTTACTGGTCTTTTAATAGTGTAACTATGATTTATGAATGTTTGTGTTTGAGAATATAGAATTATGTATAAATATTATATTTTTTGTGCATGTTTCATGTCATAATGCATTTTGTGCATTCCATTTTAACTTATTGAACTTGACATCATTGAAAAGTGTTGTCAGCAAAGACTGGAAGGAACAGTAGCAGGTATGAATTGGACGTGAATGGAAAAACATTGCATTTTGTGCAGTTCCCCTATGAAATGTTCTCTGTCATTTCTACATATCACATAATCAGTGTCATTACTTGGCAGTGAGCAGTTCGAACTATAGTTTGCTCGATATCATGCCAAAGAAACATGAAGAACATGGCATATTTTCATAGGTTATTTAACAATGATTTCAATATCAGTATTATTAAGCATTAGTTGATGGGTTGACTGATGGATGATGAACTGGAATGGATTTGGAAGGAAGTGTTCATGGCCTAACTGAGGTACTATCCAAACATTTGCTAGGAAGGATTGAGGAGAATTACAGAAAATTCACTCAAGATAGCTGGTGTCCTGTCCAAGACTGAAACTGAGCACTCACTGAATACAAATTGCCTTTTGACCAGCATGTTCATTTTTGGCATGAAATGATCATGTAGTTATTAAATGCATAATGAATTGAGAT